GTGTGTGTGTGTGTGTGTGTGTGTTGTGTGTGTTGTGTGTGTGTGTGTGTGTGTGTGTATGCGTATGTGCGTGTGTGTGTGTAAAAGTGGGCGTTGATAGTAGACCATCCGACGTGGGGATTGTATGGCTCTGCATAAAAATCCAGTCATGTATCACACATTGACATTCGCTTTTAGAATTGATGATACAGATTAATTTTAGGCTACGATTGCAGGACCTATTCGGAAAATATGCTTGTTGGCGGGAAAGCTTTGAGTAGCATTCGGTCAATTTCTAGTGGCAGATGAGAAAAGGCACACGTATGAACGCCAGAGGTCTCCTGCAATCGTGTCTGAGTGTGCTTCTGAGGTAACCCGTATACACTTCACAGAATACAACGCCTATCTTTATACACTATTGAACAATCCTACAAATCATTCAGATTACTCACAGACGAATATATTTATATTCCCTTAGGTAACTATCATCCCATGGGTGCACGCATTAAACACCACCGTACATAACACACCACCGCGAACGCCGATTTATATATAGCAACACAGGCCGATCTATATATAGCAACACACGCCGATCTACATATAATATTTCCAAATATACGAGCACATGGTTTGTGTGCACAAACTAAGAGGTAGTATGTACACATCTCTGCAACAGGCAACGTACCAGTTGATGGTTGACAATATCGTCCCAGTCGTCTACCAACTGTTTCCTTATCTTGTCCGGAAGCGCTAACTTCTCCTCGACCTCGCGCGCAAACTCCTCATCCTAGTATGCACACAATGGCGAGTACAGTGAATATTTAAATCGGTGTGTATATGCTCATCCTGGTATGCACACAATGGCGAGTACAGTGAATATTTAAAACGGTGTGTATATGCTCATCGTGGTATGCACACAATGGCGAGTACAGTGAATATATAAATCGGTGTGTATATGCTCGTCCTGGTATGCACACAATGGCGAGTACAGTGAATATTTAAATCGGTGTGTATATGCTCATCCTGGTATGCACAGAAAGACGAGTACAGTGAATATTTAAATCGGTGTTTATATGCTCATCCTGGTATGCACACAATGGCGAATACAGTGAATATTTAAATCGGTGTGTATATGGGACTCAATACGGTTGTAATACTATGGTACTAATACACACAAATATGTACTTATTGAAGTATGGGACACAACACAAACATGTGTGTTGGAGTGAGTACGAATAGACGAACGCAAAAGACGCTCGCAGAGTATTGGCGTTCCTGCATCCTGCGTAGTTGTACGCCACAGTCACAACGAAAAACTGTGAACAAAGCCAACAGGCAATAGAACAGCATGTTTGCTCACACTGACAATCACCTCGTGCCGTATACACTTTATTTTAATGTATGTGCACACACAGACACAAACACACACACACTTGTGTGTGTGTTTGTGTGTGACGCGAGTACATGCACTTACTTACCAATATACGCCCACACTCCGAAACATACAATAGGCAGGTCGACAATCATCTGCTTCAGCGCGAGAGATGGAACAGACACGTTTCTACTCCAGCACAAGCACACACACATATTCAATCGAAGACCCAACGACCCAACCTTATCATCATTCCGAGCTTCCTTTGACTTGCCAGAAGTCTTCTTTCTAGAACCCTTCCCCTTGTTCTTGCTCTGCACTTGTGCTAAGTATAACAGTCGTTTCTGTAGCTCTTTATTCTTGGCATTGTCCTTCAGAATCCGTGGGTCGTCGACGTATTCATCCCAGCTGCAAACAGCGCAGACACACACACACATTTGTGATCAAATGCGCTTTCTGAACAAAACTGTGTCAACATGTTCGCACTACACAAAGCAGTTTGAGTTGCATGCATGAGTGTATACCAAAGAAAATAGCCTAAATAACAAGTCACTATGATCTATAGAGTTCATCAGGCTCTTATACACCCATGGGTATAACATATACTCACCAAACAAACTTCAGTACACGACGAGTGCCTTATACGTTTCACGGTATCAGCCGTAAATAAGGAAATATGAACGTATCACAACACAATCGAGTTCTATCTAGAAGATCACTATGCAATGTANATNTATATATACTANATATATATATATATAATATTAGTGTGTATAGTATATATATATACTATATATATATATATATATNTAA